ATTCCAGGAGGGTTTCTTTGGTTAGAGACCATATGCCTTTGGATCATGAAAATGCTGGACTGTAACAAAAAGGTGGCGGGGAATCTGCACAGCCAGCTGGAGAATCCTTGTGGCTTCACAGAAGTATCTGAATAAAGATGAAGGTAAAAAAAAGATGAAGGTAAAATAAAGAAGAAGGGAATTTTTAGTATTCTTAAGCCTTTTCCTCATCTCGTTATAGCTCAATAGTTGGCAAGTTTGATGGGGTTTGGGACAGAGGAGCTCTGGTAGCTGTGAATCCATGCGACAGAAAACGGTTAGTACATTTGCTTTGTTATTGTCTTTAATATATGCAGTGACACCTGTTTTTCTTCCTGCAACTTGTCAATGAGTCCTGTTTCATTTAAAGGAGTAACCTACACAAGTTGTTCTCTACCACCAGCGTCAGCTGCAGTCGCGGAGTGCTGTACTCGAGTTTTGTGAGCTTCCTTCAGGAAGCCACCCTGCCTCTTGGTGGGAAAATATGTGGTTTGTTGCAACCCAGCAGAAGCAGAGCTGCACGTCTCATCTGAATTTTATTATTTCCTTCTCACCCCATCCGCTTCTCCTCTCCTTGTTCTTTTTCCCCTCACTTCCCTTTATTCCATTATTTTTTTGTTCTTGCCTACAGCCAGCCGAAATGTAGTTTGACCGTACTCCGAGGCTTTTTAATTAAATACCTAATCTTGAATTCAGAATAATTTCGAAAGAACAGTACTGTATATTGTACTGTATTTCAGACTGTGGCAGATGAATACTGTGTTTTGTCTGTTACTTTTGAGAAGAATATGCAAAAACGTAAATGCATGTTTACGAGGAGTAACCTTTATTTGAGGTGTTTCATGTGTGGCATGAATTTCATGCTCACGAAATTCAGACGAAGCTTTGCTTAGTTTCTGTGCAGTTCACTTCAAGTTGTCTCTGCATAGAAATACGCGTTAACTCTTTTGCTGAATATTTGGAATGCTATGCTTGGACGTTTGTACAGTTCCAAAATAATGAAGTATAACTTTCTCCTTTTAGCTATGTCAGTTTGATGATCACCTTAATGGAGAAAAATTCTTCTTATCTCCTCGTTACGGTTTTATATGATCCAAACAAACACAAAGGTGAGAACTTTGCACTGTTCATGTTTTGATTTTGCATGCTTTAATACAAATTGTTTGTAGATGCTGTAGATACATCAGTGTCTTCCCCAGGTTTTTCACCAGCATAGCTTTATCAGCTGATCACGCCAGTGCAACTGTGTGTTAAAAATTTTAGATGTTGACCAAGCTTGGTCTAAATTTGCTTTCTGTTTAGCATTCAGACATCTAAGGGTAAGTGGAGGACAGACATGGTATATTAACAAAGAAGTGAAACTGGAAGTGTGGCTGTGAGTGAGTGCTTAGAGCAACATCCCATCTGGCCCAGGGAGCTCGAAGCACTCCCAAGAACGTTGTAGGCTTCACTCTGTTGACCCTGTACTTGCAACCCAACGTGTTGCCGATCTCATGCCTCTCTCCCAGCCACAACATGGTCTGAATATGCTTGGAAGCGGTGAAATTCTGTAAAATCATAAAGTATTTTTTTCGTTTTATAACTTCATAGTGAATTCTGAGGTATTTTAAAAGATGTTTTTGTTGTTGTTAATTATTAACTCTCCAAAGAAATAGATTTCTTGCTGCTTTTGGACTCTTCAGCATAATTATCCCTGAAAAAACAGGTCTTGTTATCATAAGCAACAATAGTTTAATTCATTGTCCCCCTCTCACATTATTCACCTTTTAGCTTTAATTATGCCATTGTAGTATAAAGAGATTGTTGGCCAGACTCACACGGCACACGGAGAGTGGTTGTATCCACGGCACAACTGTGACTTCTACAACGTGGCTACCCTGGCTGCAGGCTGGAGGTGATGCAGCAGCACCACCTGAAGCTGTCTGGGGGCCCACCAAGGTGCCTTAAGCTCTTGGCTGTGGAGTTTTCTGGTTCCTGCAGACAGTGCTATGCACCAGGGCCTGACTGCAGCCCAGGTGCTCTGAGTGGTGGGGCGGGCTCTCCTGCTGCAGTGTAAATGTTTGTTGCCTTGCTGTGTCTGCTCTCTGATTAGCTTCACCCATTTTCTTTCAGGCCCACCATTTTACGTTCCTGAAGCTGAAATTAAAAGCTTGTTTGGTAAGTAATATTTCAACTAACCCTTAGGAATTTTTTCCAAAACACATAAATGTGTTTATGTGCTTCTGCCTCACCTTGGGACAAGTGATAGAGACTAATTTGCTTCTTACTTAAGGGGTGGAGTCACGGAAAAATAACAGGGAAAATAAATGCCATTTAGCCACTGGGATTTTGCTGTCAAAGAAAATTCTCAGCTCTTCAAAAGATACAAAGAAAACCCGAGAGACAGATGCTGTCCCTTTCCTCCCCTCGGCATCTTTTCATGCTCCCAGGATTCACACTGCACTCGGTGGTCTCGTAGCTGCAGCCTTGGTCCCTTTTGACTATTTTGTCTTTCTCTGCACCTCATCGCCAGCTACCCTGGTTTTAATACCAGGCGTTTGCATCTCAGTTCTACTTTCTGCTGTACTTTTGTAGCCAAAGGAGGAACGTAACATGCCACGTGAAGAAAATGCTAAATGTACAACTCGAATCCATCACAATAACGAAAATTAGAGTTAGGGCGGGAATTTCATTTTAAAAGTCCCTCCTGATATGCTTTGATATTGCACTTCTTTTAAACGTGCAGCGTTCTGAGACCCCTGCGCTGTCTGTGCCCAGCAAGTCGTTGGCATGGACAGTTGCGTCCCAGTGCGAGAGAGACGGGTAAGTTTTCCCTGGCACGTTTGTGTCACTGCGTTAGGGACTGTGAGGAAATCCGTGGATGAGATTTCTTTTTTTTTTTCCTCTTTCCTGATGGTCAGCATTTATCAGTGACTAGTTGTTCAATAATGTTACTCTTTCCTCCTTTTCAGGTGACCACTGCGAAATTCAGCATCTTCAAAAAGTCGACGACTTCTCAGACAGACACAGGCAGTGGGGACTAGATTATTTTCTGGAGGTCCTGTATTTACTGAAGTTTGTACCTTGATTAAAATCGACTAAAATAACTTACACACCCATCTTGCTTTTATTTTTATCTCGCCTTTTAAAACGAGACATGTTTCGGGGGGGTTACCAAGCAAGCTCCAGCGTACAGCAAAACTTTGGAGACGCGCAGGGCTCCTTCTTACGCCTCCCCGCGCAAACGCGCATTTCTAAAGCGCGTCCTTTTCTTCCGCATCGATTCGACGAGAAAAATAAACGGGGCCGTTTGTCTGCGGCCGGCGAGGGCGGCCTCGGGGGCGGAGCGGCGTTGCCGGCAGCGCCGCTC